GTAGGCCTAAAATGGCTTTCGAAGTTGATGTTTTTTTTGGCACAAATATAAATCAATATTTTTTTTACAATATTGGATATATTTTTAATATTGAAAATATTTTTATAACAGAAGCACTAACAAATAAAACTATAAATAAAAATTCTAGAAAAAAATATAAATAAAACTCAATGTAAAATAATTAGTTAACATACATTAATTAAGTATCTTAGTTATAAAATGATAAGAATATTTTAATTATTTACAATTAATTTTTTTAAATATTTATATAATCCTATTTGAATTATGTTTTATAATTTTTTTTTCAAAAGTTTGTTGATAAAATATTAATTCAACTCGTCTTTCATAAATGAAAAAATTGTCGATTAACAAATTATTCATGATTCTTTAAGTTTATAATAAAGATCTTCAAACAAATCTATATATTTTCTATAAAATTTTTACAAGAGATTTTCTGCATCTAAAAAAAAAATAAGTTTCACCAAAATAGATAACTTTTTTTGTTATCCGGTAACTCATTTTGTTTAAAAAATCAAGAATTGAAATAATATTTTACTAACAAATTTTTGACAGTAAAATTATAAAACATAATCCGTGTAGGATGATACAAATATTTTTTTTAAATTAATCATAAATAATTTTAAAATCATAATCATTTTTAACTAAAATACCCAATTAAGGATATGTTAATTAATAATTTTACATTGAGTTATTTTTATATTTTTGAATGGAATTTATTTTTTATTTACAATTTTATTTATTAGTGTTATAGTTATTAAAAGTTTCTATATTTAAAAGCTAAAATATTGAAAAATTGTTGTTTTATATTTGTGCCAAAAAAAAACACCAACTTTAAAAGCCATTTTAGGCCTACCGTTAGTCAACTATAACTGTTGACTAACGATATGCCTAAATTGGTATGGTCGACGAAAGTTTGTGACTAAAATGGCTTGTCAATAAAAGTTGAGTGTTTTTTTGGCTTATGAGAAAGTTGGTGTTTTATTTCAACCAAATTTGAAAGTTGGTGATTTAAATGACAATTTTCCCTATACGAAATACATGAAGTAGTATCATTAATGATAACTGCTCTAGTGGTTAGTACCGCTGTGTCTAGAGCTCCCATCCCGAGTTCGAAGAACCAATAGCCCATTTTGGACTACTTTTTTCCTTTACTTAGGTCTAATAGAGCAAAAAGACAAAATTGTCCTCGTCTTCAACCTTCGACATGTAAATCTCAGAACCGTCTTTTTTTTTTCTCGACGATTTTTTTTGCTTTTTCTTCTTATTCTTATGTGTTTAATCAAATATATATCAAATCTACAACATAGAACGTGATTTGGAACTTCAAATAAACAAAAGGATGAACTTTTTAATTCTCCCCGATTAAATGACCAAACAACCTCGAATCGCTACGCTTGGTGGCCGAGTAACGTTTTTGCGCCGAGTATTCGGTCCTAGGCGGCGAGTTTTCGAACAGAGATTATAACAAACAGAGGTTTATTTGATGAAAATAAACAGTCTCAAACAAAGGTCAGTATATAATTCAGAGAGCTCTTTCAATCAATCCAGATTCACAACCTGCAGGATACCACAAGACGAAAGTGTATGCCGACAAATCTCACAGTAACAAGATCAACGGTTCAGAGAAAAGAGCATGCTCTGGCCACCAGGCAAGTAAGCCACATTAGGAGATCTAGCAAGTGTAGCTGCGACCTCCCTCGAAGCTTCAATCCTCCTAAGCTCGATAAGTCCCATACCAGCTTTAGCCGTAGCATCAGAGATCAACTGTGCAGCTTCACTCTCACCTTCAGCTCTTATAACCGCGGCTCTCCTCTCTTGGTCAGCCTTCATCACCACAAACTTAGACCGCTCTGCCTCTTGCTGAGCCACTTGTTTCTGCTCAACAGCCTTTGAGAACTCGTATCCGTAAGACAAGTGCGTGATTGCAACGTCGTCGAGCACAATGTTGAAGTCTTTGGCACGTTTGATTAGAGATTCACGAACAAGCGCTGAGACGTGGGGACGCTCTGTGAGGAGCTGGTCGGCGTTGAACTGTGCAACCACGGCCTTTAAAACTTCGTTTCCAATAGAAGGAAGAACCTTCTCGTCATACTCTAGACCCAAGGTTTGAAATATGTAGGGAAGACGCATAACCTTGACGCATTGTTAACATCACATAAACAAGTCAAACACTCAAAACATAATACTGTACTGATTAAAGCAGCATAAATATTCTACATTTCCATTGCATTAACCCTAAAACTGCCTAAATCGATCATCAGAACCCTAAACCACTAAATTTACATAAACCGTAACTAAGAGTGCCGATAGTCCTCAATTAAATTTGATAGATAATCAATTAACAGATTATGTGAAATAGATTAGTTGGTTACTCGGTTAATTAGCCGGTTGTTTACCTGAACTTAACCAAGTAATCTACTTCACACAATCAACCATCTAGGTAATTCACATAATCTGTTATCGATCATAACCCCTAAATCCAATTTAGATATGAAATTTGTTTGAACCTCGATAACATGTGCGAACCCTCAATTTATCAAGCAATTCTAGTTAGGAATTAGATGTGGGTATACCTCGGGGCGAGAGAGAACACGAAGGGTGAGATTAACCATCTGAAGATCTTTCGTACCGGAGATTGAGGAGAAGGTGTGAGGCTTCGTGCGGATGTCGAAGATGTGAGGCTTCTGTAGAATCGGGATCAGGAAATGAGTTCCTTCACCGACGGTTTGATCCATTACTCCTCTGAATCGATCGAAGATCACAGCTCTCTCTCCGCCGTCAACTGTGTATAGCGACGTGTTCAGCACCGTCGCCGCAGTTCCTAGACCGAAAGCCGCCTTTGCTAAATTGGTAAGGAATGAAACCGCCGCTTGTTGGCTTCCCATTTTTGATTCTGAGTAGCTTGAGACGAGATGATCCAAGAGAGATTTTAGACGATGAGAGTTTGTTAGGGTTTATGAGATGGTGATTCGGGGGAGGCTACAACGGAGAATGATTTAATGGGCCAAGTATATTGCCTAATATCACCAAATATAAGCCCATTAAGAGCTCTTCAGAATTTTAATATTTATGATTTTCTCAGCTTTTATAGATGTATTCTTTGTTATTTCATTATTATCATTTTGGATTTTAAGTTGAATAACAAGAAAGACTTCTCTTATTTATTATTTATAAAACTAGGTTAAGATCCGTTCCATGCGCGGAATGAATATTACGTATACAAATTATTTTTACATGTTATGATTATTTTTAATTTTTTACATATTCTAAATAATAAAATAATAAAAATATATAAAGCAATTAAAGATTCAATAGCGATTATGTATATAACTAAATCAGCACAAAATCATAAATCAAAACAATCAATCTTGTTAATTTTGAATCATTATTTGGTAAATAAATCCAAACAATCACTTTTATCTATTTTAAATGGTATATAATTATGTTCAAAATAATACTAACATATATAGTCTATTTTAATAGGGTTATATATTAAATAAGGCTTCATAATCATATGGTTTTGTGAGCATTTGTAAATCTTTCAATTATTGATAACAAAATTTTCAATGTGACTTTTAGTATTTTACAAATGTTGTTAAATATCATAGGAAATTTCGAATAAAATATTATTTTTTTAATATTTGTTCAGTTATTTTAAAATTACAATATTATATATTTTTATAAAGTATATAATTTAATTTAAACAAAATTAAAATAAATAAATATATAAATAAATATATATATATATATATATAATATGCAATAGAAGGTTAAGCAAATGTATGGAAAAACTTCAGCTGAAAGTTGATTGATATATATATATATAATATGCAATAGAAGGTTAAGCAAATGTATGGAAAAACTTCAGGGTTGATTGTACACATGAGATCATTCGGAGACAGCAAGAGCATATAACCAAAGGAGAAGAATCCACCAACAGCTTTGTAGGCACCTGGTTCAAGATGAAAAGAAGATGTTGATACTTGTTTTTCAACAAGTAATATATTACCTCTATTCTGACTTCAAAGTAAAGACTATAAACAAATTCTTCATGGAAGGAAACTTATTAGTAAGTTTTAAATTTGATTTTATTTTCATTTATTACTGATTTTTCGTATTTATTTATTTCAGGTCAAAACAAAAATCCGAGAAAGACAAGTCTGTAACGAGCACCAACGGACACCTGATCAATGTCGATTGATAGAGCATCACGAGTATCGAACACCACTTCATTGTGTCGACCGACACTCACATCAGCGAGCATGTATACCATTTTTTCCCCTCGTTAAATTCGTCATTATGATTTATTTTCCCACTAATCTTAGATTGTATAACACTGGGACAATGTTGTTTAAGTCTGAGGGAGTTATTTCTGATGTACTGTGTTTTATTTTAGTTTTATGATTTTTATTTGAGTTTTATAGAGTCAAGAAGGGGATGATGAACTTTTTCAGTTTTACTATGGGGTTTTAGTGATTTAAACCTCCAATTATTTTTAAATCGGATGAAAAACTTTCAATTATAATTTTATGTTTTTAAACCTCTCACTATTAAGCTGTTAACCTTCTGTTATCAAAATTGTATTTTTTAACAGAGACCCACTAAATTGAAACACCGCGTTTCATGTAATTTCAAAAACGGCACAAGCTTCTTATCATCAATATATATTTTAGTGATTTAAATTTCCAATTATTTTTAAATCGGATAGAAAATCCCACAACTAAACATTTATGTTTTTAAACCCTCAACTATTAAACTTTTATTGCTTTTAACTCTGTGTAAAAAAAAACATATTTTCTGAACGAGAAACCGTTAAATTGAAACACAGAGTTTCATGTAATCATATAAAAAACATCAAATATTTAAACCATGTATATCAATGGGCAATGACAATCACAATTCATCCTCAAATAAAAAAATCAAATGTTAAGTAAATGAACATGAGAGAAAGAATTAGGGATTGATTGGGTACCATTAAAGTAATATAGAGTAAAAGAAATAGGTAAAAACATAGGAAAATAAAAGGTGGAAAACAATACAAAAGCCAGCACAACACATATTTCTCTACATAAAGTAAGAGAGAGAAAATAAAGAATTTTACTATGTTTCAACAGTAACTAGTAAAAAGGCAAGTGGAACATTTTTCACCTGATTGGCTAAATATTAGCTGGAGTCAAAGTAAATATATTTTATACTTAAAATATATCGCCAGGAGTGTCGTACAATCATTGCTTAGAATTAGAAACAATACAACTTTTTTGACTTACCTCAACTTTGATGAAGAGGAAAAAGAATTTTAATTTTTTTTATTTGAGGATGAATTGTGATTGTCATTACCCATTGATATAGGTGGTTTAAACATTTCATGTCGTTTATATGATTACATGAAACTCTGTGTTTCAATTTAACGGTTTCCCGTTCAGAAAATATGACTTTATTTGCAGAGGGTTAAAAGCATTAAGGGTTTAATAGTTGGAGGTTTAAATCACTAAAATATATATTATGATAAGAACCTGATGTCGTTTTGAAATTACATGAAACGCGGTGTTTCGATTTAACGGGTCTCAGTTAAGAAAAAATGATTTTGATAACGGAAGGTTAACGTCATTAACGACTTAATAGTTGGAGGTTTAAAAACATAAATTTTAGTTGGAGGTTTTTCATCTGATTTAAAAATAGTTGGAGATTTAAATCACTAAAAACCCTTTTATTTATTGTCTAATCACTCACTAACACCATTTTAGATTTACTGATTTCAGGGTGTGCCGGATGGAGATACCTGCCAATAACATCCACACTTACTGAGAATGTTTTAAGGAACCATAGCTTACCTCTAATCTAATATACTTAATTTGCTAGTCTTGGGCTTGGTATACACTGGATTGGTTCCTTCTGCAAGCTTGTAAAATTCTGTGTGTTTCTTGCTCCCTTCTCTCTCTCTCTCTCTCTCTCTCTCTCTCTCTCTCTCTCTTCAAATTTTAGAAAAGAAAATATTGAGATGATTTCTTGAGACGCTGAGAGGTAGGAAAATTTCCTATAACCTCATTGTTTTAATTCAAAGGGATGATCACACAAAGCTGGAAGCGAGGGATAGGAAAATTTTCTATGACCCCATTTTTTTCTTACACTTTGAAAAAGAAAAAAATAAGAAAAAAGAAAAAAAGAAGAAAAAGAAAAGAAAAAAAAAGAGAAAAAAGATCCAGAGAAAACAAATAAAAGGGAAGAAATGGATAAGAGAAGACTGCATGTGTGTTTAGATACTTACTTGAGTAAGAGTTCATGTGTCCTTTAATCGATACTCCCAAAGTAAAATCTACACCTATTTATTGTAAGAAATGAGGTTACTAGATGGCAGTTAGTAATAGCTAAGTTGTTGGCTGGATGGTTTGATTGCTAAGCTAAGGTGCCTCTAAAGTTGGCATTGATTTGTTGTGGCTTTTGCAACATTGCATAGGTGATAATAGTAAGTTTAAAGTTGTGTGAGTCCTTGCATTTTCAAACCTCTTTCACATGACTATTTTTTTGTTTTGCTTGAGAACAAGCAAAATGATAATTTTGGGGGGAGTTGATATACTATGGAATTTACCAGTTTTCAGCTATAGTATAAGTCCTTTTTAGAGTCTATATATTGTAATGGAGTAAAATTTACAGTAATTTCAGGTCCATATATGTTTTAGAGCAATGTTGAGATTATGGAGCACTCTAGAGCTTATTGATGAGGAAACTAGTAGTTGTTGAAGAAATCAGAAGTAATAGTCGAGATTTACAAGAAGTACGATTGACACTGCACCATTGGTGTCGCTCGACACCCGCACGAGTACACGGGCCGACTTAAGTCAAGACTGACTCCAGCCCAGAAGATCCACATAATTACCAGAAACCCTTTGCCGACTATATACCTAGTATTTATAGTTATTTCCATTTTTTGGAAAACATACCACCTTACACATCTTACCACACCATATTTACTTGGGATTTTATGAGTAGTTTTGGAGAGAAGATCAAAAACTTCTTCAGAGCTTTTGTATTGGAACTCCAGTTTTGTATACCTTATTCTATTTATGCATTCTATATTATTGTTATATTTTGCTTAATCATGTCTGATTAGTTTCCTTTGTTAGATTTAGGGTTTAGATGAATACTGAACAATAAAACTGCTAGGGTGAATTTATTAGGATCCTTCATCAGAATTGAACTTACTGTCTGTGTTCTAGAGTAGCTAACTAGAACTCTGAATTTAGGATATTGATAACTGCGAGAGTAGGTTCATTACTTGACAATAATTTTATAGAGCTAAGTTGTTAGAAACATGCGAAAACTGGTTAAGTTAACCTAATAAACATATCGATTGGGACGTTAATACTTGTTGACAGGACTACATTTCAGGGTGTTATAATTTCTAATTCACTCAATCAAATTACCCTATGAAACTCAACTACAACAACTACTACTACTCTTGTCAAGAGAGATCAGATAAAGTACATAGGGATCGAATCCACAGAGAACAAAGGCACACAATAGATTTATGAGATTCTAATGTTTAAGCTAGATGAAATACTTATATAGGAAATTAGTATTAAGTAAAAAAGGAAATTCTTTAGGTTTGACTTAATGAAAATAAGGAAAAAAACTAGATCTAAGGTTTAGGCACAAGGATTATAATGGATAGGATGCAAGGAAATTTAATACAGGAGGTATCAGTTGCCTACAAGTATGATTGTCAATCGATGGTGAAGTACCAATATCGATCAATGGTTATGACAAATAGGTATCCACTAGAATTGGTCGACCAGCCGTCGCATGCATCTAACAATCCTAGCTCAATTGGAAATATGATCAGGTGAAGAACCTACTGTCGTAGTTATCTATGTCCTAAGTTCATGATTTAGTTAGCTACTCTAAATCACATGTATTAAGAAATATTCTAATCAAT